CTCGAGACCTCTGAGGCCTCCGGCTGAGTGGCCTTTAGCTGCAGGATCCGTTCCTCTTCCCGCTGCCTGCTGCCATCTCTTTTTCGTGGCTGGTTCTGCGCATCTAGCAGTGACAATGGGCTTCCTTTGGTTTGCCGTTGGTTTACTTTTGGTTTACTTCTGGTTTGCTGTTGGTTGTTCGGCTTTTCGGGCATGGCTGAGCATGCGCGCCCGAAAAGCCGAAGCTCAGCCAGCATCTCAGCGTGATCCGACCCAGTTTCAACAAATAGATCGCCGCTGAAAGATCGGGCCTTCAATACCGAGGGGGTCATACCATCCCTTGGCCTCCGCTGAGGTCAATTCAGAATTAGTCGTGCTATGTTCAGCTTCCCCCTTGGTTTGGTGGTGAAACGGCGTGGTTTACCATTTACCCTCTAAAAGGACCAAGGGTCCAAGTCCGAATCCAAACCAATCCAAACCACCCTGACTGTACCTGCCACTTGGTGCTCAACGCCCGCCTCTGCCTCTCCTCCACGATGTCCTGACAGCTTGCGCACAGATCTAGGAGTGTCACGCTGGCAAAATTCACGGCCGCCAAACCAAAAGCCAGTTGACACCTCCAATAAGGAAGCCTCACTTTGATGGTTGTTACGGGTGGTTTATTAATCAGTGCAGGGTCAGGAAAATACTTTATTTCGCGGTGGGTCATTGATCAGAGGTTGACATTTTGACTGGGCGGGCCCACCCCCCCCCGCATTCTTTTTGTTTTTGTTAGTGGGGACGCGCTGGGTCAATCGGCCGTGCCTCGAAACGCTTGCGGACTCACGCGGCTTCAACACTGCCTTCCCTATGGAACAAGGGTACACGAGCCCAATAAATTAGAAGGTGGTGGGATAATACTGAACCAAATTACCTGACACCTCGTGATCAGGTTCTACACATGATGGGATACAATAAAAAAAGAACTAACTAATTTGGACCTCATGATACCTCATGACCGAGGTGAGGCAAAGTCACGTTCTGCCATTTGCTCAAGCCCCTTGGACAAAATATAAGAAAATGTGTCCAGTAGTGAAATCCATTCCCTTCAAGACCAACAAGGATAAATAACAATCATACATATTCAGCACATGGACGTTAGTCATTTGTCATTTTGGTCTGCGTGCGTTCCTCCACTCCCCCACCCCACCCCATTTTTTGAGGCAGCCGAAAACGCCTTCCGCCGGTTTTCCGCGGCCGACGAAAAACATGTTTTTTATTTATTTTTTTTTCGCGCGGGACTGCCTCCGGGATGGCGCCGAAGCCCGGGGGCAAGCGGTGGGGCTGCCCATCCTCTGACCTGCAGACCAAATCCGCTGCCTAGTCTTGGGATGTTGCGGTCCCAGTCATGATCATGCGGGCTGGGGGGAGGGAAGGGGGGAGGGGAGGGGGGAGAAGAGGGAGGGGGAGGGGGAGGGGAGGGGGAGGGCAGGGGAGGGGAGGGGAGTAAAACAAGGCCCTATTCTGGGCTCCTTCCCACTCCTGCCCCCATCACAAAAAAACTCAGGGCGTCATCCATTCCCGCGAAATGGATTTCGCAAAAGAGTGGCAATTCCCCAAAACAAATGCAGCCCAGCGGCTCTTCGTCATCTTCCATTTTTCCTCGGCACAGGTTCACTTCACAGCGAGCTGGGGGCGTGTGAATTTGAAAGGAGACAGCCCCGCTCTATGCAACTTCCAGTCTCCCCTACTTTGATGCCGATGCATCCACGGGTGCTGGCGTTGATGCTGGGGGTGCCAGACAAAGAAATTGGGCCAAAATCAGGCTCAGACGCTGGCCAGTCACTCTCTCTCACTATTTTCGCTAAACACCTCAGCACTACTTCCTTCAAGCCCACTCATAGAGCACTCAGCTCCAGGCTCCTGGTGGGAGGCTGGTCGCCAATACCTGCCTGACGAAATCCCCCAACTGGGGCAGAAAGAAGCCCGCGGCCGCATGCCGTGGCCGTGGAACATGAGGAGATGCCGCGTAACCACACACCTCACCTTGCTCTTGTTCCATAAGTGCATTTAGATTCGGGAACGCTATTGGGTGATGTTCTTCAAGGAAACCCCGGGCGCCAGGTTTCTGTGAGCAGTCCGAGGGTCCTTTGGTGTGCCGTTGCAGTGGCAACTGGTTGGGGCTAGCCACGCTAGCGTCACAGAAAGGGGCTTTCCAGCCAAGTTCACCTTAGCGCATCTTAGGCAGAAGCACAACAGCACCTCCCTCCCAGGCCACGTGTTTGTCCCGAATGCATCTGACGGGTTGTCTTTTCTGGCTTTTTAAGGGACCCAGACAGTGGCTGTTTTCCTTCTGTTGTTCCTGCAAAACCACCAAAAGAAAAACACCCTCAAACGACACGCCCCACTCAAGCCGCTCGAGTTGCCGCCCATTGGTGTACAGGCGCTGCCTGTTTCATCATGAGAGGGACCACATGACAACGAGCCAACTTGCCTCCGTCTTCGTCCGCTTTCTCGCCTCAGCTTGCGCTGGACACCACCAAGCCGAGTCCTGTGCCATGTAGCTCCCCCTGCAGATTGTCCATGGCCTCTAGAAGCACCATGAAAAACGCAAACTGCACATCCACTTCAAGCAGTACCTGGAATGCAAGGATCGCACCTGCGGACCGATCAAACGGCCGGCTGCCTGAGGCCGGAGCCACCACTGGCACGACGCTGCCCTGCAACCGGAACAAGTCAAAATCAATTCCGCGCCAACATGCCTTTTGGTAGCAGCTAAAAATTATCTGTCATGGTGTGGTTGTGAAAATTAGGAACCTTTGTCCAGGCCCCACAGCAGCTGACTCTCCAATCCCGTGAGGCCCATGCGTCTTCGAGATCCACCACCTCCTCCTCATCAGCAGATGGCTTGAAGGAATAACGCGCATGCTGCTGGCACACCTGCGATAAAGACAAGCACGTGGCAAGAAGCTTGATTGATACCGGTTTGCTTCCTCCGTATTGATTTGTAAGAACTACGGAAAGATTGCAATACTACGCGAAGACTACGGAAAGACAATGGACAGACCATAGGAACACCTATGAAAGACTGGAAAAAGACCTTGTGGGGAACTCCAAGAAACCCCGACATACTACAGGAAGACAGGACTAGGGAAAGACTACAAGGCTAATTGCCAAATGACAATTGGAAGACTAGAGCACTCCGAACCCAAAAGACTAGGCCGGAAAACTACGAGACAGCTTTAACACACAGGCCGCGGAAAGACCCTGTGAAAACAGTGGCAAAAGATATAGTAAAGACACACACACAGAGAGAGTCACGGTGCATACAAGCTGTTGTGGCCAAGAAGACTTACCTCGGCCTGCAAAAACAACAACGCCGACAAAGACTCGAAACTGTTTCAAGCTCACAACCAGCCAGAGAGCAGTGGTGCTTTGTTCCTTACCAAGACGCGTGGCTCAAGAACGCCCAGGGCGTGCGTTACACGTAGCAAAGAGGCGCAGGGTCTCTTTGCTTGCCAACTGCTTAACCGTATTAAACACTTGCATTGCAATGATGTGCCACCGTAGTGTCTCATTTATCTTCCAAGAGCGGCGTGGTTTAGGCAGGCCTTCACTTCAAACGGCCGTCAAGGTTAGAGGCTTCGCTTCAAAAGCTCATGGAAGCAAAGTCCGATGGCCCAAATCTCAGGGCGGTCCTTGACCAAACGCCGCTTGCCGGCTTCCGTTTTTACAGGCACCTGAGGCGAGATCGAGGTTCTATGCCCGCACTGCGCGGCCAGCTGGGAAATCAAACAACGCGAACTGCAAAACTGAAGAACCCCCACCAAACCAGGACACTTACCTGACCCACCAAAGGATTCATCATCGGTCGCCCGTTGCCTTTGACATGCACCAACACCCCAAGGTCCCGGCGGTTGGCAGGGCGGGCACTTGCCTTGGATGCCGCACACAGCCAACAGGAAGCAACATGCCAACCAAAGCATGTTGCTGTTCCAGTTTTCCGGCGCTCCAACACCCCCCCTTTGCGTGCTGCCGGCGTTTGCCCGGCAAATGCTTCTTGGGCCAGCAGACCTGCAGTAGTCTCTCCAAAACATCAGAGAAATAGCCGCCTGAACTGGGAACACGTCGGTTTGTCAAGTGCTCGCGCTTCTTTCTCTCCCTAAACTTGACATGATAACTAAAGTCGCATCATCTAAACGGCAACGCGTGACAATGCCCTGGACACCACCCCACACACACCACCCTCTCTGGGCGTCCCTGCGGCTCTACCTGCACACTCTAAGCTTCTGAGGCACTCAACTGGTGTCTTCCTGAATTGACTGGGCTGTCCGTTTCTGATCCCCTAACAGTTCAACTTGTTGGTGAAATGGAAACCCAACCACCAAACCCTAACCTAGACACCTAAGGAACCGAAGGGTTGGGAACCACCAAGTTGATTCACCAGCCCAAGAACTGTCCAATCACCCGAAACCTAGCCACGGCTTTGGACCCCCTAGCACGCATATGCTTGTCAACGTTCACTTTTCTGAACTCTGCTAAGCTCACCTTTTCCTGCGCTCTTCTTCCACAAATTTCCACGATGAGCCTCAAACATGACTATCAAACACGAGGTTAACAAGCTTACCTTAAGGGTAATCTCTTGCAAGGACGCGGCTGGCTTTTCGCGGAGCTTCTGGGGAAAGCAAGGCACATGCACAAACCAATCAATAACGGCAAACTCCTTGCTGTCCGCTGTGCCAACACAAAACCCTTGCCTGCCCTCGCGAGAAAAAAGGAATGCAACATCGCTTTGCAAGCATTCGCGGTTGGCCTTTACTTTTAACAGCGTTGTGGCGCTTCATTGGGTTTGCCGTGCCCGCCAACGCGCCGTCATGTCCGGACCTACAAAGGAAAACCGCTTGTTTGAGGCCTTTGACCCTTGAAGACTTTCCCATATCATTATCTGATTTGCGCTGGTAAGCAGTGCTGCCGCTGGCTCAGTTTCACTCTCTGACTCTCTTGCACGCATGAAGCATAACCCAGCCAGCAAAGCCAGAACGCATTTTAGTACAAGGCCGAATGTATCATGCATGAGTGAAGCCTTGGCTGTATACTCCAGACATGACTACTGGCTGCAGAATCCCAATGAGGCTCAAAAGAAGCCTACACCAGGGGTGCAAGCCCTACCTCCAGCCCACAGCAGCGGAGCTTCTTTTTCAGCCCGCATGCGGCCCGAGAAGGCGGGCGAGAAGTCAAAGAACTCCTCGTAGTCTCGCAGGGATGGCCAGGTGTCTTTCGCCTCGGTTGGACCGGAGTGGGTTGTGTCTCGCGCACGTGAGCCGGCGCCAAAGGATTGGCAAAAACGATGTCTGGTTAAAACTTTGGCGGGGAAGTCACCACTAAAAGCTTAGAGGTTGGGGCCTATTTGCTCACAGCGCCTTCTGGCCGCACCCGCGCTCACAGGAAACGGCAGGCTTGAAAAAGTATCACCAAGCAGGGCACACTTCGCCTCATATCGCCCCCTTTGACCAGGATGGGCACCTATTCTCACAAGGGTTAAGATTTGGCGAGGCTCGTCGACGCCGAAGAGGAGGAATGACCTCTCTCCTATCCTGCGCCCACATGCGAATCGCCCAAGCTTCATCTTTGAGGCCCCCTTCCCCAACAAGATGCGGCCCAGGGTTGTGGGATGCTTCCGCCCAACTGGAAACCTTTCACACGCACCACCGAAGAAACCGGTTTCTGATGACTCCTCTGTAAATAGCAACGAACAATGGCTTCCCATGGCTTCAAAGTGGTGCATAATTTTGTCCACCCACAGCGCATCGCTCGTCCTGTTGCCGGAGTCAACGTCCGTGAGGGAAACTGACCAGCGGCCGGGGGAGGCGATCGATGGGCTCAAGTGGTCCACAAACATGGTGAAGCCTGCGCTGCGGGCGAACCCATTTGCCCCAAGAACCTGGACATAAAAATGAAACAAAAACTCGGTTGCTTTTTGCTCCCCGGCTAAAAGTCTAACTTTTAGTGGTTTACTGGAAAACCCATTGGTTGGCAAAAAGTTAAAGTCCTAACATCCAAGCAAAATGCACCAAAGAAAAGGGAGTGAAACCTCCCAAGAAGCCCACAAGCTATTGACTCCAAGATCCCCACCTCATCACGTGCAATTGCCATTCAACATTCCTCGGCAAGATGCCGCTTTCCCTGAGCCTCGTGTTCCCCCTCGGCGCCATGCCCTTCGCTTCTTGGAGGGCAACGGGGTTTCCGTCTGACGACTCCCGGGGCCCCGGGGCCTTTGGGCACATGGCCGCCCGACTGTCGCAGCAGCCGCCCCTGGGATGGGCGCGTGCCATGCAAAGGTGCGGGGTGTGAACTTTCTTTCAGCATCCCAGCACCTTTCCTCGCTGGTGCGCTGGGTAGGGAATGACCTTCCGGGTGTTGGGAATGAAGCGGAAGGGGGATTTCCTTGAAGGAACCATAGGGGATGGTTTGTAGGGGTCATTCCATTTCTCATTCCCTGCCTATCGAACCAGCAAGTTTCGACGAATTAATTGTACCCTCCCTCCCTTTTCACATGGAGCTCCAACGAACGTCGCCAGCTCCCGGCCGTTTGGGGGGGGGGAGAAACCGAGGCCTCGCGCCTCGCGCAGCCAGTGGATGGCCACCTCGCCCTCGAAGCCCACGTTGCGCAGGTAGGCCACCAGCGACACCTGTGCATCCGGCTCCAGGAAAACCAGCCAGTAAGAAAATTTGGGAAAAAGTTGGGGCCGAATTGTTGGAACATTGGCTGGAACAGTTGGGGGCCGAATTTTGGTTTCAGCGAATGGCGGTTCTTTGGTTTGAACCTCACGTGGCCTCCTGAAGCTTGGGGAGACATGGAGCTGCATTGGCTGGCTTCGCGAGACACAGTGTCTAAAACCCGAGGGACATCCGAAAACTCACTCTTGTTCAATACGTTGCTGCAAATGTGGCAAATTGCATTTTTTCCATCACTTCTCTTGGCAATTATGTCAAGGCAGGCCGGCCTTCAAAATCAGCATGTACAGGTCGACAAAGTTTACACTTTAAAGGCATCTCGGCTATTTCGGTCGTAATAGGGCTGGGAAACGTGACCCTGGAGTTGCCAGCCAGGGCAAATCCAGGGTTGCGCTGAGCGGCTTAGCGCGTGAGTCTGTGAGTCGGGGAGCCAGCAGAACTGGGCTGGCTCAGTTTTCAGATCCCCCGCTGAAGTTTCGCTAGTGTATGTCTCAAACTTGGAAACCTGTTTGTGGATGGGTTAATTTGCAACAACTTGCAGTCGTTGCAGAGGTTCACATAGATATGTGGGTTCAATGGACACCCAAGCACTCAACCAACGAAAATCCTGAAAACCTCTTGACTCTTGAACCAGATGGCTGCTTGAACCGCCGAGCGACTTGGCGAGCAAATCGCTGGGCGTCCCCGCGTTGGACTGGCAGCCGATCACCGACACCTCCCCGCGGAAGTCGAAGGCCGCCTCGTCCCAGCCGCAGCCCACGCGCATCGCCACCACCGGAGGCAGCTCCCACCCCCTGCCGGGAGTCTTTCCAAGGCCCGCCGGAGCTCGACGGCGCAAAAAGATGCGCGGGTTTCAGGCGAAAAACAAAAAACATGTGCCTGGCAGGGGCTTGCTTCTGGGGCTAAGGTGGGATTGGTCGACTTTTTTGCGGTGAGCTCAAAAGCAGGATTTTTGGGCTTGGGCCAATCAGACTTGCAGGCTTCAGGGGTAGGTTAAAGCACATCTGAAGGGCAAGGTTCCGGAAGGGCTCAGATTTGGTTGAGGGGTTCAGTTACCACCATGAAGCCAGAGGGGGTTAATAGAACCACCATTGTTTTCCGAGGGACTTTCATCATCCGAATTGGGTCAACAATTCTTGTAATGGGGTTGAACCCCAGGGTTTGGTTCAGGATGGGTTCGACTTTGGGGCGAACGTTTGGATTCGGGATGTGGGGTTGATTTGGGGTTCATTTGGGCAACCGGCGGCTCCTCAACTGAAACATGAAAGAGAATCAACAAAGGACAAAAATCCCACAACGTGCGCAACAAAGACACACACACACACATGACAAAGGCAAATAAACATAAACACACATCCAAACCAAAACTGGGGAGAAATCAGCCTACTTGCCATGGCCACCAACCTACATTCCAACCGCCCCAGGAGGTCTCGAGCAGTGCAAGCATGGCTTCGCAGATCAGAATTACATCCGTTAGCATGCAAAGTGGGAGAACGCGTTGTGTACGGTTTCCGGATCACTTTTGCCAGGCGACCTGCCCCCCTTTGTTGGCTTCAAGAACCAAAAGGAAAAAGCCACCAGTTTGGAGGCTGGAAGACCCCCCCAAGAAAAAGGTGAACAGAAACCCCGCCACCCCGAAGCAACCCCCCAACTGCCCCACCCAACAACATCGTTATGCTCATTGTGACTTCCTTTCTGAGCAAAACGTCCTTTTTCTGCTCACAACAAGAACCCTGAACGACATCGCCCCAACCACTCAACTGCCCCCCCCCAACTGGGTGAGGCTCAAAATGAAACAGCTACAGTTACGCAGGTGTTCATCTTTGGTTCCATTTACATTTATTTGAGCCACAGCCAACTGAACGAAGAAACCCTCGCAATCGCCTGTGCCGCTTGGGCCTTGCCACCCGCTCCGCCAGCTCCAGGCCGCCGCCCACCCGCGACGGGCGTCCCGACGCCGACGTCGGCTCCGTCCGCAGGCGGAGCCGCAGGCGCTGCGGCGCCCAATGCCCGCGGCCTGAGGGGGAGACCAGGCGCTGGAGGCCCCGGGCCTGGCGGACGGCATGATTTGAGCGTGACTCTGTCTTTGAGGGGAACTGTTTTTCTGTGTTTAAAGGGAAAAGCAAAAGGAAACAAGCTTTTTTGAGGGTTTCACCCCAGTTTGAGACAAAGCCATTGGCTTTGTGTCGGCACAAGGCAACTGATATGTGGCCGGTTCTGTCGCTCTATCCTTCTCAGGCTTCCTTCAAACACCTTTGAACAAACATTGCAAAATGATCTGGGCAAATTACTATATCAGGAACGTGCATTCATCCTGAGTGAGCTCGCTTTACCAGCGCTACAAATTTCCGAGCTGAATCAGGCAATAAACGAAAGTCAATCACTACAAGGAACCGCAATCTTGCTTGAATCTTCGGATTCAGCAAAAATCCAAAGACTTCTCGTTTAGTGCTTGATTTTCAACATGAATATGTGTTCAATCGTTTCGCAATCATTGTGATGCTCAGGAAACTGACACCGACAAAAGCAACACGTGCTGCCTTGCTCTTACGTAGTTGTGATCAAGGGATTCTGTCCCTCGTTCGCCATCCAATGTGCTTGACCCAGGCTTGACCCCCTCTCACTTGCATGTGCGAACCGACGCTGACTTGAGACGGCCTCTGGGCATAGCCATGCTTGTCATCAACCAGAAGCAAAATACTCTTTCGGCAAGTGGGCGTGACCGTTAAAATGATTCCCCCTCCCTCCTTGTCAGGCGTAACGCCTACACAAAGAAACGGTTTCTTCATGACGTCGAATGCCGCATGACACAATCCTAGTACTTTTGTGCGAGTGGTTCCTCAATTTGTGAGATCGGTCATTCGCACACACTGCTAATACTCCTCGCCTCCAAAGTGCCGCCTAAGGCGGCAAGCAACGGTGCAGTGGGCGCCGCCACTTCCAGCCACCTGGACGATTTGCTCAGGCCAATCACCAAGCTGATGCATCAACAGCTTCTTTCTCGTGGGCAGTCCGGGATGCAATGCCCAATGGTTCATGCCTGGTGCGGTACGCATGCACATTCCAAACCAAAAAGAAGCCCGAAATAAGTTTCCATGCCGTTCTGGCTGGCCTCCCCAGGCTGGAACGGCCTCACCGCAAATTCATTCACACACACACACACACACACACACACACACACACACACACACACACACACACACACACACACACACACACACACACGCCGGCCAGCCCCTCCCCCCCTTCCCGCCCACCCCACGCCCCGCTCACCCCCCCCACCCAAACCGCCTGGGCCGCTCCCGCCGGGCGATGCCGGCCTCCAGCGCGCCGCGCAAGGCGCGGCTGGGCGCCAGCGAGGAGTCCACCTGAGATCGGGTCATGTTGACCCAGGTGATTTGTCCACCACAAAATGCAAGCGATTTTTCCACCCAGGTGATCTTTTCCACCAGGTCATTTTGACCCAGGTGATGTTTCCCATGGTCCAAAAGAACTGGGAGGGTCGCTTTTGAAAGGAATGATGTTGACCCAGGATTGATAGACCCATGCGACGCATTTTATGGCCTTGAACAAGAGGTTGATTCACCCACTGCTTCCAGGCAAACCACTATGGAATTGCCCCGGGGAATCCATCCATGGTAAACCTTCGAGGTTCCCTGGCTGCAAGCCTACTAATGTTGTCCCATTCCCACTAAAAGGGGACACCCCCTTTTAGTAAAAGTCAACCAGGGGGGTTTTAGTCCGGGGTTAACATTACTACCCACCCTGGGGGAAATCGGGGCAGGCACAAGAAGCACATGTGGCTGTGAATAATCAGGGACCCTGTGGTGGACATCAAAACTCGGTGGGTCCACATATTCACCAATTCGGTGGGTCCACATGTGGCTGTGGGTCAAAACCAATGGGATCCCATTTTGCAGTAGGTGGCACCACCCATTTTAGAACCTATATATTTTAGTGGGGATTGGGATGTTCACTGGGGGTGCGGGATTTGACCCATGACCATGTGGCTGTGAATAAGGAGGGACCCTGTGGTGGACATCAAAATTCAGGGGGGATTCATGTCCACCAATCACTTTTGAAGTGGTTCCCTATGAAAATGCATGGCGGGAGATAGGGGAACCAAGAAGCAATCAGCTTTGAACAGCAACAACACACCTGGACTCGGCTCCCTTAAGACAATTTCAATCGGATTCTGACCACTAACATTGCCCGTTCGAGCTTTTAAGGGATGCCCTGATTTTCTACCGACTTCATGATGGGCGGACTCGCTCGTTCTACCGGGTCCCGTTCTTCCGGTTTTTCTGCCGGGTGCGGGCCTTGCGCACGAACCAGGGCTCCTCCATCGCGATGTCGCGGAGGTGGCTGCCGTTCAGCGGCCTCTCGATCTTGTGACCCCAGGGGGGCTGAATTTGAAGAGCTGTTTTCTGGAACCCTGCCCCCTCCCCAAACAGGTGCGACGGCGAAATTTGCTGTAACTCACATTCTATCCCGCTCGTTGTTGCTTCCTGTTGGTTGCAGTGTGTTGGCAGGGGGACAGAACAGGCGCAAGCAGGGAACAGGAGATTTTTTCTCCTAACTGATATGAGTCCGCCCTTTTGCCCTTCGAAGATCTAGAATGTGTGTATCTTTTCAGGCTTGGACCTCCCAAAACTATGGTTTCCCCTTGGTTTCCCTTTACAACCACCAAAAAAGGGGGGGTGGGGCAACTCCAAAAAAAGAGAAAATCAGACCCAAACTGAGGCTGCCAGGCTCCCAGGCTCCCAGGTCACGCCTGGGGCTCTGAAACGGGAAGTCGCTCTTCTCGGAGCGGCGCCAGGGCGCATCGTAGAGGTCCAGGTACCTGGAGCTGAGCGTTGGCCGCGCCGCCGCGCCGCCGGACGTCGACGGCGTCCCAGACGCTCGCCGGTCTGCCGAAAAAAGCCATTCGGGGAAGCCAGCTGCGTTCTGCCAAGCAAAAAGCGACAGGGCAAAGGTGGAAGTAAACATGTTCCCCGAGATTGACCCAGCCGGATCTCCAAGGCGCAAACAGCTTCTCCGAAATGCAGGTGAACCTTTTTGGGACACTAGAAAAAAAACAAGTCCCAGGTTGGCCTTGGGCAAGTCACTCCGTGAGGCATCCCTAGAGGCGCCCCATGAGCCCCGCAAAGGGCCAACATGGACCCGGAAACTTGTAACTTGCCGGATCGCAGAGAAAATACAGTTCATAAATGGAATCTCCGGCGTCAACCCATGGCCGCCCCTCAATTCCATGTGGTTATAACGTGGGGATTTTCCCCGCCATCGTCCGCTGAACGGCCACAAGAGGGTCCGCTGAACCCTCGTCCCCGCCGGGCGCACAGGAACTCATGGCGCAACACGGTGTGGCAGAAGCGCGAGCTGAGAAGCAGCGTCTGGAAAAAGGTCTCCTGTGACTCCGGGAGAAACGACGAGGTGCGGAGTTGGTGTTAAAGATGGGGCAAGCGCTGGTTTAGACCATGGCCCTTGCCAAACATGCAGGGAAGAGTTGCTTTTTAAGGCGCCTTCAAAGACTCCACAAGGGGGAAATGAAGGGAATATACTTTTTAAAAGGAGTCTTCAAAGACTCACTGCCCAGGGGGTGCCGGCACATATGAGGGTCCGTGCTCGCGCAAAATGCGATCCGCTGCAGCAGTGCTGGACACTGCTGCATGCTGGACAGCACTGAAAGCTGGAGTGACGCACAAGAATCGTGGCACACACACACACGAAAGCCGTCATACTTTGACCTGGCGTCTCCGCCATCCCCGGGCAGAAACGAAAGCAAAGTTTGGATCTTTGGGGCCTCAGGGATGCTCAGGGCGGTCAGGTCATCGTAGATGTCCCGCACCAGGCTGGAGTTCAGGCCTCGCCGTGTCCGAGAATGCCAGCTGAAGCCCCCGGCCGATCGATTCCGGGAGCCTTGAATCACATACTCCACAAAGTCCTTGCTCAGCACCAGCCACTCTGGCCCCGAGGCAGCTTTGATCCCAGTCAGAAGAGGCGGATACTTCACGCCTCGTCAGGGGCGTACATGCTTTGGAGCAAGCTCTCGGCAATCAACACGGAATCACACAAAACAAAGAGGTGGAGGGACATCCTTCTTGCGTTTTTGGTTGGCGGGTCCATGTCAGTTTTCAGGATCCAGGAGAGCATTGCCTCTCGCCTACTCAAAAACCCCCTTCTGACACAGCAAGCCTAAACTTGCAGCTGACCCCACCTGCCCCACCCCGTTTTTCTTCCAAAGCGAACTCCCTTCTTCAGGCCTACAAAAGCAGGCTGCCTTCGCGCCCTGGAGTTCTGTGTAGGCTTACACCTGCTAAAGCCCAATCACACCTGTCCTGGCAACATCTGACATCCCTATGCTCAAAAATGCGGCGCGCGGAGGGATGCGTTCGGTAACTGTCCCATTCTTCGCAGGAATGCTTCTTTCCAGAAATGATCAACACACCCCAAGGCACACAACTAACCGAGTTCTGCAAACTTGGGTTGCTGTTGACCCCCAGAAAAAAAAAAAACTGAACATCCTGGGGGTTTGGTGGAAAACCCCTTAATTTCAACAAAAAAGTTAAAGTCTAAAGATCCGTTACCCAACAGCAGTCAAAAGCAAAGAACGGTTGAAAGGAATAGGGAAAACAACCCCGGCAGACCACGTTTTGGGGCGTTTTGTGGCGCCGAGTCGCCGGCCTGGCGCCACCGAGAAGAGATGGCCCTCGCACTCGAAGGCCAACGTCCGGTCACAGGCCACGTAGAGGTCCTCCTGGCCTAAAGCAGCAGCGCGTGGCGCCGCCAGCTGGGCGGTCCGATGTCAGATCCCCCGCTAAACGTGACTAACTTTTAGTGGGTGAATGTGGGTGACATGCGGGAATCGAAGCCACGAAACACCAAAAAGATCTAAGCACGGAAAATCCAAGCACGAAACCTCAAGCTAAAAACCAAAGGGCATGGCTGGGAACCGCCAAGTCAGGGTGCACATTAGCGTCCATTTTCGGTGCTTAAAGAGACATAGAGTCATGGGAATTGGATCCTCCATGACTCATTCTTAACAAAGAAGGTCCCCTGATATCAGACCATGCCTTTTGCAACAATCCAAACTGCCCCCTAGGGCGTTTTGTTTTGGCACAGGGACTGGACCAACTGGAGAAAAGGAGAACAGGGGACGCTCTGGAACTGGAGAGCAACATGGCCGAGGTTTATGTAGCCCTCACTCGTCTCTCTTTTTGTGCCTCTGCAAAAGATTTTCAACAAATGCATCATCCGGTCGAAGCAAGCTGCGGAGCTTACCGTCTGCGTTTCATTTGTGGTTGGGCATGGCTTGCAGGCATCCACCCGTATGTGCCAAGCGGGAGATGTAGGACAAGCAAGGGTCCTCAAAGAAAATAACCCTAAAAGACTCGCATCATTCTCAGAGCATCATGATTTATGATACCTCCCTTCCAGACAAGGCCACTTCCACAGACTCAATCAGTGATGCGGAAGCAGCAGTGTCGGCTGAGAACATTCCAGCAAGTTGCCACCCAGCTGAACCCTAAAGACCCAAAAAGCTAAGTTCAAAAGGCCCATTGCATCAAACTTCTCAGGAGGAGAAAAACAAAAAGGCCAAGATCCACGGATTCCAAGTGAGCTGCCAAGATGGAATGAGTTGAGCGCTCACCCACACCCTCACGAGAATCTCCCTGGGCTCTTTGGGCAGATGAGTCTCCCCATTGATTTACAATGTATAGTTTTTGTGCCTATATGAGTCTACTAGATTTTGACGAAATAACATTTGTTATGACATGTTAAATTGTAGACATACATATATTTCAGGAGCATCTCAGCAGGGGGGCGGAAAGCGTGGCCAATGCTTTAAGTCCCGCGACCTTCCGCATTTCCAGGGATCAGAATCTTTCTAGACCTCAAGGAACCGATCCGGTTCTTGAAAAGAACGAACACTTGAAAAGAATGGGGAATCAACCCTTAGAGAAGGTTGCTGGCAAAGCCGACAAATTGCGTGACCTGTCTTACAGCTTTCATGTCCCCATTCGAAAGCTAGCCCAAAGACCCCGCAAAAAGAAACCAACCAATTGAGCCTTGCTGACGACCATTTAAAGAATCCACCTTTGATCCCAAAACTACACCCAAAAAAAAAGCCGATCGGTGAGGTTTGCGGGGGGCTGTTGTCCGAGAGGGGGACTGGCCTGTCTCCAGATCACCCTTGCTAATCTATCATTTAGTCTGAACCGGAGGGCTCGGTGTCATAGGGAACCACCTAAAGTACTTTGGTGGACATACCCTCCCACCAGCCAACGTGGAAGTGCACAGACCCCCATAGAAAGACTACTTTCCTCTTGGAAAGGGCCTTTTTGTTGTTGATGGGAGGGTACATCCCCACCTAAATCATATCCAAGTGTCGACCAAAAATTCCTCGCCGCGGGGTTCGTTTCTCCCCCCGGAGCTTACGCCCCTCCCCCGGCGGAAAAGAAAAAACAAAAAACAACTCCGCTGGGCTCCGCGGCGCGGCCCGCCGTAGCTGGCAGCCTTGCCGCCCTGCAGCGTGGGGTCGTAGTACTTCGTGGAGGTGATCCGCGCCTGAGAAGGGCGATCCGTAGGTGTCCCGGCAAAAGGCTCGAACTTTTTGCGGGCGAAACCAAAAAAACAACTAGATCCCCAGCAAGGCCGGTAGTTTCCAGCTACTTTGACCAAATTATGGGCTAGTGGGTAAAGTGGCTGGAAAAACGTAGCTACTTGGGGTTTCAGGTATGAGGGGTATCCAAAAAGTTAAGGTCTAAAGATCCAACCCAATAGCGGCAGAGCCAAATGCGCAAATGGATCTTCCAAATGGGTGGCGCATCTTGTTCTGAGTCCTTCCTTGTGCTAGGCTTTAACGGGACACCAAAAGGAAAAGCCAAGGGAACGTTCCCGGGTGAAACCCGTGTTCTCTACTTGCAATGTTTTGAGCATCCACCGCAACTCGCTGGGGATGGTTGCGAAGCAATCGCACCACCTTGTCTTTTTCGGATGCACCCCCTGTCGGTAGGTTTTAGTGGGAGACCAAAAGGAAAACCCACCATTTTGGGGGTCCCCCAAAAAAGTCACACCCAAATACCAACCCCGAACCCACTCAGTAAAGGTGGTATCACAATGATCGAAATACAGAGTTCCTGAGCTTCAACCCACCGAAAAGGCGAAAGGACATTCCCTATTCCCTGGCTCTGGCAAACACTGATGTAAGGTAAGTTGGCTTTGCCAAGCTGCTGTGCAGTGCATATAGATGTATGCACGCGCATTCTTGGCCTACAAATTTGCATAGACGTACCGGGACGATATGTCCGCGGCCCATGCCCCAGGAACACCACGCGCGGTTCATGCTTTCAGCTGGTGTTTCCAACGCAGTCTGGATGGTCCTCCGACCGATGGGGAATCCCTTACTTCAGGAGAAGGGGCTGTGACTCATAAGGTCCAAGTAAGATCGAGCTATCATTTAAGGCTCTGAGTTTCATCCTCGCCACTTGGATCTCCGGAGCCCTGTCATGGCCCAAACGGCAAATGGCGGCACACGTGAGGTTTACAGGGCGGCGAAGCAATGTTGCTGGAAAGCAGCCTTGCAAAGTGAAGACAGGCACATGATCCTGTACACGTGTGGGCTTGATGTTCAAGTGCCATCAACCGAGGTGGCCACCCAAATGATGAAATCAGCTGTGGTGGCAAGCCTATTTTGGTGGCACACATGGCAAAACCTTGCAATTTGTGTGCATGTTGGGTTGTCCCCCTTGAGGACCCCTCCGGCTGCCTGAGTTACAGGGATGGCTGGCGTGCCTCTGATCAAAACGTCAAGCATTGCTGCACATGGTCTGCTTGGAAAATGAAACCATACCATATGCTCATGAAAAGCGGCAAGCCGGACCTTGCCGAGTAACGTAGTTTGTGCCGTCGTGTAGCCAGAGGTAGGACCCAATCACTGACATTGCTTCAGCTGGGTAGTGAGTGTCACCTCAGACGGCAAGCTGAGGGCATGCACCTGCGCATGCTGGAAGGGATCTCCCATGAAGGGTTCACATACGTTTAATACCTCTGGTATTTAACAAGCCTTCACAAAACCACAAATTGACGAAGGCAACTGTCCAGGGGATGCGTTGCTTCCAACCCCTTGAGGATTCACAATCAGAAGTGCTTTTTAGGTACCTCCGTGGAGGGGCCATCTTTATCGCCCCAAATGCCTGGGATTCAACGAATTGGGCCCGGAAATCGGTACGACGGTATGACTCTTGGGCGCCCTTGTGGAACAACATTCAACAGGGGGTCCTATCAGGCAAAGAGGGCCTCGTTGCAAAAGCAGCGGGTGGGATGTGCAACATCCCAGCCAACTGGAAGGTATCCGATTCAGATGGGCACCCCGCCTCCCATCGAAAAAACAAAGCTGCAGCATCTCATTTTGGTTGCTGTGAACTGATGCCATGACCCAGATCCGAGATGTGTTGGCACCCCATCAATGAGAATCTCTGAACAGCGAAGCTGTCACTTTGCGTGATTGACTGGCGGAAAATGTTGAATCTATTTGGCCCTTTGCCATCTTTCTCAAGGCTGCAAATGCCTTGGGCCGCAAGCGCAACCTGCTGAAACTGTCATCGTCCCAGCCGCTGAGGTTCACATAGTACTCCTCAGTAGCGCAGCTCGTCGGTGGGGGGTGTCAGCTGGAACAAAGAAGGGTAGGGCTGGGTTGCGGGAGAATCTCTAAGCTCGGTTTCTGTCCAGGCGACATGGGGAGGCCACAGAAAATACCAAAGGAACAAATCAAAGCAACCATCCACCACCAAAAAAACACACCAAGCAGACAGCAAAGGGATGTTCAAAGAGAAACCGAACGGGAAACAGGCCAAGCAACATGCGCAAAGATGTTCAAAGATTGCAGAAAAAGGGACCCCAAAGTTGGAGCGCAAAGAAAAACCACAGAAAAACAACCAAAAACTCGCCAGGGAACCACAAAAACCTGCAGCAAAAGCGCCAGTCTTCAAAAAACAAACTCACACAACCACCACAAAAACCTCCAGCAAGAGCGCCATTTAAAAAGAAAAAAGAAAAGAAAAGAAAAACACACAAACAAAAAGAAGAAGGAACTGCTGACTCAGCGCCGTGCCCAGAGCACAGAGCTCGCCAGCAGCATCCTCATGGCTTGCAGCTGCACCTCCAGCATGGAGCGGCCTCCCCGGTGCACCGGGAAGGCGCTGAAGATTTGCACCCGCTCCTAACGCACGCATCTGCGGTCAGCGGTCAGCTTTCCGCCCGTAAGCAGAAACACACCAGTGCTTGGCCGGGTTGTGGGATCAAAGGGTTTTACCAACCATTGTGATACTTTGGGGAATCTCCCCCGTTAATGCTAACCCCGGATTAAGCAGAACCCCTGGTTGATTTCTAATGGGGGGTGTCCCCTTTTAGTGGGGATTCATCACTTTTGGAGGGGGGGTGTGGGGTTAGTGTTTGGGGTTAGGCCCTTCCTGTTGTATCACAGAAGTGGATTCCATTTCCCACAGCCCTGCGCAGTGATGCGTGTGCCGCGGTCCTGCGGGCGGCCTGTACCATGGTTTTTTAGGCATCTTCCCTTCTAGTGGGGTCTTGAACGGATCATCTTTGCTGGCTGCCATGAGGCTACCCCTACAAACGAGCCACTCAGATATGGCGCTTTTTTTGTGCCCTCAACAGGTTGGCCCAAAGCGCTTAGGCTAGCAGTTCTGAAGGAAGCCCACGGCCCCGTGGGCCCCAGCTTCCATCTGACCCATTCAGCTTCCCTCCAATGGGTGGTTTGGAGCCCAGTGATTTGGAGGTGTTCCGAGGGTGGTTCTACCTAAAATGGTTGGCTCCTGTTCTTGCGGGTGCTCAGTATGAGGGAATGAACCTGGGAATCGGATTCCCGAACCAAAAAACGATAGGATGGATGGTTTTCCTAGGGGTCATTCCATTTCTCATTCCCTGCTGATCGCACCAGAAAGTTGTTTGGTCCCCGGTCTGCGGTTGACCCTCTGCAGAAAGTTATTTGGCTTTTCATGGGCCCTTTCGGAAAATCCACTGTTTGCCAAAAAGTTCAAGTCCAAAGATCCGATCAAAGAGCCATAAAGCTTTGACATGCCAACAAGGGTTGGCGTATCGGACAACGATACCGTGGGGTATGGGTCTTCCTTCATGAAAATAGGAGAACCCAAATCCCGTTTTTTGGTGTTAATATGATTATTATTAGTATTACTATTATTATTGTTGATATTATTGCTTTCTAAAAAACCAAAAAAAACTGGGCCAAAAGCATGGCCACTGGCCGGCCCCCAATTCTTCCCTGCCGTCGGGCCGCCGAGCCCTTGTAGAAGCTGCGGGCTGCCCACCTCACGAGACTTCGGCATGGCTGGCAGAAGGCCCAGCTCCGGGAATGCATCCCAAGCAGGGCTAGGTCCTCCAGTAGAGAGCTTCAAATCAGGGTACCCGACTCTTTTTTTTCAGGACGTCTATTTGAGTAGGGAAACCCTCCCAACCAAAAAAACTCCCCCAAGAAAGGGGAGAGAAGGGCACTACTGGGGGACCTAGGGGCGTGGATTCACGTGGATTTACGAGGAAACCTGCCTTGTGATCGGTGCGAAATCGGCAGGGAATGAGTTGGAATGACCTGTAAAAACCATCCAACCGGTGGTTTCCTTTCAGGCCAAAGCCTGGGTTCATTCTCACAGTCCAGAACCTGAGCACCAGCAAGCTAACGGGTGACAATGTGTTTTCATCCCAACAGAGAGTTGGTCAGCTCTGCAAATGTTGAAGCCCAGGCTTTCTCCCTTTCTTCTTGCATCCAATCGAGGCCATCACAACTCCCGGAGGCATTACTTTCTGAGAAACAACCCAGAAGATTGCTTTTCGCGAAACCCAGAACCATGACCTCATCCTAGGCCAACTGAAATATCGCCCATTTCTAAAAGCACCCTTACACACAAAAACCATGGCTCTCTTTCAACCCCCTTCAGAGCCATCTGGAAGCACGGGGTCATGCCCCTCGTCCGTCCGGCACTGTCTGGCTCGCTCCCGCCTCCTGAAGTCCTGCAGGTCCTCCGGCCGCGCCACCTGGACTTCGTCTGCCCAAAACGGCTGGGCCCGGCTGAAGTTGGCCGTTGGAAGGGGGGCAAAACAAATGTTTATTTATTTTGTCGCAGTGAAGTCGTGGATTTCAACCACTAAACCACAAGCAAAAATGGGAACAACAACAAGCATGTAAAGGGGAACAAAGAAGCCCTGCGTTTTCTGGGCTGCCCTCGGACCCCCTGCTAAAAAAATAACTTTTAGTGGGTGAAATAGACATTTTCACCAAACCCTCAAAACCTGAAAAGCTAAGGGGATGGCTGGGAGCCACCAAGTTTTTGTAGTTGAGGTCGAGCAGAATCCTGCCCAAGGAGAAAAACATGAGCAGGAACAAATCAACGGGCTCTGGTAGGGAAATGAGTTGACGCCCTCCCATTCCCCTGACATCGGTCATCACAATTCCAATTTCCTCGCGATCATCCGCAAAAACCACGCTTGGTTACAGTCTTGGCTTCCGAAAGGAAGCCTGCGATGGCAAATAAGTTTCAAATTTCATGTGTTCCTGCGCTCCTGGCCAAATCTGGCCAATTGAAGCAAGATCTGCTTAGATCCCTTCGGCTGCTGCTCCAGCAGCTTAGCCCGTAAACGCGGCCATACACAAGCCTCCGATCAGATCCAGCGATTTGCTCTGGAAGGACACCAAGCTTGTAGCTGAAACAAACAAACACCAAAAAAAAACACAAAAGCGCGGTGCGACGCATCGACTAGTGTGTCTGCAAGCCACCCCGCAATGAGTGTGTGTGTCCATTTGGCTGCCCTTTCACGCGAGAGATCTCAAAGGCCGAAGTACGGGCTCGACCTCACCAAAAAAAACAGCCCAACATTTAACTCCTGGCCATCTTTTACCTGCCAGAATGGAAAGTCACGCCTATGTGTTTGAAGCGGCAATCCTGGCGATTTATGAACCCTAGGTTCTTTTATTCTTTCAGTTCCGGAATGCCGGCATGGTTTTGACACAGATCGCCATTGGATACAAGAGACTTCAACTCGGGGCTAAAATGAAGAATCCCGGAACAGGCTCCTGGTCTGTTGCGAACTGCCGGGAACATTGCGTTGCCGGGTTCAAATGCCGTTTGCCTCCATTCACTTTAGACCCATCCGCCCCCCTCCCCAAAAAAAACAAAAACAGCAAGAGTTCTGAACGCCCTTTCGTTTCCTGTCGCCAAACCCCAACCACATCAAACCGACATGCGGGGGGCTCAGATGATGTCTCCCCAACTCGGCATGACGGCGTTTTTTTTTCTCGGAGGAAAAAAGAAGCAACAGCTCTGAGTCAAGCCCCGACCGCCAACAGGCCGATATGCGAAACACATACGCTCGGGTGACATCCCCAACCCATTTTTCTCGGCCCAAAAAGAAGCAAACGACGTCGGCTCGTCTCGTCTCGCCTTGGTGTCCAGGTGGCACAGGAAGAGGCCCTGCTCCGGGTGCAGCACGCGGGAGATCAGGCGCCGCGCCTGCGCCTGACTTGCGAACCCCACACGGTGATCCACGGCTCGTTTCGGCTACGGCCCTTGTGCTTTCCGTGGCTGTCCGTGTTCAGATCCCCCGCTCACAGTCACTAACTTGTGGGTGAAAGATCCAACCACGAAACATTAAAAAAGAAAAACACTGACGGGGGGGAGGGGGTGGCTGGGAACCAGCAAGCTTGGACATGGGACATGCTGATGGTAGCACCGTGAGCCCAAGAAGGACCCAGCCGAAGGACCCAGCCGAAAAGCCCCAAGCCCGCCGAGCGCCAGGCGAAGCGGTCATGCGCCAGAAGGAAGAAAGCCAGCGCCGCCTGCCGCGCACCTAGGGCCATTAGGGCTGTTCGATTAGAACATCTGCTGGACAGGGGCCGAGGAAGACGAAAGATGCGTGGTGATCCCAGTTAACTCCCGAGATCGTGGCCCCATGTCATGTCAGTCAATCGTTTGTCCGGAGGCACGCGCTGATCAACCGGGGGGATGACGGGGACTGCCTCTACGTGATCCCAGTTACACCAGGGGCACCCCGACAGCTGACATGAGCTTGCTGACTTCCCTTGCCGAGAAGAAAGATTGAAGGTTTTGGCCAGCGGCAATTCTTGACTGCACTTAACAGCCTTGCAGCGTTTTAGTGGGTGGGTTCCACCTCAGTTTGCAGAGACTGACGCCACCAAGCTCGAAGGCCCCTCGACATCTCAAAGTGAGACTTAATCAAGATTGAACCCAACTGAGCATTTGAGCAACGGGAAAAAGGGGCGGCCATAGTTCTTGCCTCTTTAGCACACGCTTTATAAGTGGTCCTGGTATATGGTCCTCGCCTCATCCCACCAGGCTGTCCTCAGATCCCCTGCTGAAAGTTTAACTTCTAGTGCGTAGGATGGACAACCCCACTAAACCCTAAAAAGCCACAAAGCTAAAAAGAACCCCAAAATGGAGTTCCTTTTCTTTCTCAGCCGGCCTCCCCTTGACACCCAGGGTCACTAGATGTCACCAGGCATGGATTAGATTTCTCTGGTTGGAAGTTGGAAGGAACGAGTATCCCAGTTGCAACCACTAATCCCTAAAGAGCCGAAAGGCGAAAAAGAACCCCCAAACTGGAGCCCACAAGCTAAAGAGCTAAGGCCCCGCATGGCTGGGCGCCACAAGGCCCAAACATGCACCTCTCCGCAGCCCATGTCTTCCCAAGCCACTCTCCATGCGCATCTGCACGGCGGAAAAGGTTCCCGCCGGCCCGCACAGCTCCTCCGCTGGCATC